GTTGTGAGCAATCATACAAGATCAGCAGGAAGATTCAGTACAAATGTTCGATCTTGATGTTATCAAAAGTAAGAAGAGGAACTGCTGATTAAATGCTGGTGAGATTCAGTGTTGCTTGCTACAAAGAAATTCAGTGAAGAGAACACAGTTTCCATGATAATGTCTGTCGACACAGAAGCATTACACACACTCTGAAACAGAACAAGCAATGGACTTTGTACCAATGTTCATGAAGACTGCAGATGGGTCACGACCAGGAACCAGAACTCTGTTGACGATTATGTTTCACGGCAAACACGAGGGAGATGAAAGAACCGATTTTTTTTTTTATCTCTTTTTTGTTTACCATGGATTCAATCGTCTCGAGTTGGAAATAGAGTCAACACCGTTCTCCCTCCATGGGCATTAGCAGATTCCAAGACCTCTGTGTAATTATTAGCCACAGGACTGTGCAATGGCGCAGCCATTCTGTGAACTGGTTGCTGCGTCTGCGGAGCCATGAACGAATGCTCGAACTGCCCGTTTGTCGTCGTCGTCGTCGGAGAACCAAATTGCCCGTTTTTGGGAGAATTGAATTGGCCGTTCGTCGGAGAACCAAAATGGGTCATTTGCCGGTGGTGGAACTGCGGGGGCTGGAGGTGGGGATTGGCGGCGGCGGCGGCCATCTGCTGCTGTTGCTGCAATGTCGCCATTGGGACAAAAGACGGCATGAAATGCTCCGAACTTGGTCCTCTTGTCGGATGCAAGAAATGGGCAGGCACTGGAGAGCTCGCGAACAAATGGTCCGTCGCCGGATCCGACCCGCCTCCACCGTTTCCGCCGCCGGAGGACAAGCCCTGCATTCTCTTGAGGTACAAACGGTACTTCTGCAGATGGCTCGCCACGTTCTCTCTGGTTAGACCGTCGACGCTCATCAGCTGCATGATGGTCTTCGGAACAGCGTTCTTGATGCCCAGATGCGCGACCGCGCCGACGACCCGCTTGGCTCGTCCCCGGCGGCTCCGGAGCCCAGATCCGCGGAGTCCGCAGCGAACTCGGCGGAGGAGTTGGCCTGTGACGACGGCGGCGGAGGCTGATGAGGCGGAGGTGGAGTGGCGGCTTGCAGGTGGGCTTGACCGGAGTTGTTGATTCCATGGTTAGGGCTTCGGATGTCGAAGGCGAGGGCGAGACCAGGAGTGATTAGAGATTGAGACAAGGGTATGAGCTCCTCCGGTGATGGAAGCTCTTCTTCCCATTTGGCGAACCAGTTGGATTCTTCCTCTCTCATTCTCGGACAAATCCCGAAAGAAAAAAAAAACTCAAATTCACCTATCGATCTGACAAACCCAGAAGAATCTTCGGCAGAAACATCCAAAGCTCAATGCGGAATCGAAGAAAAAGACACAGAAAGGTACTGTCTTCACGTCTCATACCAGAAACCCAGATGAGATAAAAGACGACAGAGATCACCCAACAATCAGTGTCGATCCAAAAGGGGAAAAAAACCCAGAGAATTTCCGAGGAGACACGATCAGAATTCAACCGAGGACGCGCAGGTGATGAACTAATCTGCAGCCCTGAAATGCCCAGTACCCAAACGAAATAACCTCGACTCAAATTCTCTCGCCCGGGCAAGAAGGTGAAGAAGAGGAGGAAGAAGAAGGAACCAGGAGATTGACGATGAACGAAAAAAGATGGAGAGAGGTTCGAGGTGGATCTTCTTCCTTCCTTAGCCTTTTTAATCTTTCCAATACTATTATTTGCAGATGCCTTTATTTAAAATCATGAATTTTACGCTTGATTGGTTTTGAGATTTCTTTTTCGAAAATTACAATTACTCCTTTTTATTCTTCAGATTTTAATTATTATTATTTTTCGATCTAATTTTGTTTCACTGCGAGATTTTGATTTGAGGGTCTTAGAAGAATGCTTGCTTCACATTGGAAGATTCTCAGATATTTTTTTTTTCCCCTCTCCCCTTCAAATCATATCATTGGAGTCGACGCTTACACGGCGCGTGGACTCCACTTCCATACAATTCCATCTCTTCGTAATTCGATTTAATTTTATTTTTTAAAATTTTTTATTAATAAATAATTTAATTTAAATTTTTTCATTATTTTTATATTAAATCAAATGCAATTGATTTTCTTTGGTTTGATTTTTAAAAATCATATCAAATTAACGTTTAGATCGAGTTTGTTTTTTGTACGATTACATTTTATTTGATTTAATATTAATATTTTAACATATTCAGTAAATTAAAATGTAACTGAATTCACTTATGTGCAAACATGATTTACAATAATAATATTTGACTGGTATTGCCCTAGATAGTAATATGACACCTCAAACGACAATTTAATTAACTTGGTCAATATTCAGTGAGTCAATATCTGTACATATCATTTTTATTTAATTATAATCATTAATAATTTCTATTGGATAAAAAATGATATAATTAGGATTTAAATATCTGAAAGAATGATTAACTGAGAAAAACAAACAATTTAAATTCGTATCTAAATATCTCGAATAATCGAATTCAAAATTTGATCTCGTACTTGTTTATTGTTATTAAAAAACAATATTCGAAGACCCGAATCTAAAAAAATTAAGGGTATTGCTCATTTTTTTCATGAAATTTATCCCTTCAATTAAACTATTTTTTCTTAAATTGTTATCGGTTTAAGGGCCATCGCCATTGATGTCATGTTAGTGGCTAATGTTTTTTTTATAAAAAAAAATTGGTAAATGATTTTTTTATTTATTTGCTTTGATGCACATGAGATGAAAAGGCTTTGACTTTCACGGAAGGAAGATGATAAGAAGACTCCGAATGTTGTTATATTTAATATTATAGTCACGATTAAATTAATATATCTATATCATCTTTAATCAATTAGACGTGCCAATTACAATTTTTTGTATTAATTTATTATATGCTAGAAACAAATTCGATGCATGTAACTTGTTTAGGTGAATATTATAAATATATAATATAAAGTTTTTGCATCTCTTTTGTAGCAACTAAAATGTATATAATTGGTATGTATGTATGTATGTATGTATGTATGTATGTATGTCAGTATAATTGGGTAGTTCGAGATGAGGAAATTAATTTGGCAGTTAAAAATAAAAATCAGAATGTGAATATAAAGTGAAAAGGTGAAATAACCAAATATAGAAAATTGAGCAAGTTAGTCCATAAATATACAACTTCAATTTATTTTTCAAAATAGAAATTTAATTCGATTTGGACCCACGAGGCACATATTCTTATCTTCTTTCTTTTTGAATAATGTATGGACTCCAAAGATTACCCATCATTTTAATCTCTGTTGTCCACCTCGCAACAATAACGTACTCGTATATACATACACCCAATCTCTCTCTCTATATACATATATATATATATATATATATATATATATATATATGTGTGTGTGTGTGTGTGTTTGATGGGAAATAAAATTTGTATGGTTCAAAAGAAATTTGTCTGACAAAAAAAAATGCACGTGAGTATGTTTATTTGCGCAATAGTGAAATATCCGATAATTTATTTCATCCCCACCCAAAAAATGCAAGTTGATATCAAAATTTACTCTCTTTTTTTTTTATCCATCTAATTATGAAAATGAAAACAGGGGTGACGATTTCGTTTAAATATATAAGAATAATTTAATCGATAAAAAAACTACTAAGTATACTCTTTTTAAAATGAATATACATATGGTAAAAATCGAAAGTAATAAATATTTGTTTTAGTAAAAACAAAATCTAAAAAATAAAGTCCGAACCGGAATGAAAGATTTAAAAACCAACTATATATATATATATATATAGAGATTTCATAAAATGGATTGGACGGGTCATAATATTGGGCTTGTAGTTATGGGCCGTGGTATTGGGCTTAATTTGTCCAAGTTTTGGTCATCAGACTTTGGGGAGTGGAAAAATAACGTGTGGTGGCTGACAACGTAACGGCTAGTTTAGCGACGACGACGATAACGGTCACTACCTGGCTGAAAATAAAAGACGCCGATAATTTCATAAAAAAATGAAATTAAAAATGAAAAAGTTTGATGCTTTGTTCCCACTTCCCGACAGACATAGACCCTGAATCGGATACGAGGACAATCAACTCTTGGATATGATCCATGTTGATGACACCGGAAAAAAAAAAGACAATGATTATACACTGAAAACTGGTATTTGATCGATAAATTATTATTATTATTATGATGATTAATGTGAATCCATTTATTAGTTACTTCGAGAGGCGAGGGACTCCCTGTCTCTCTCTCGGTGCATATAAAAGGTACTCTGATTTTGATAATCGTTTTAGTTTCTTCCTGAATCGGTGGGATTTTAGATTCGATTCCTTGCTTCTTCCGTTTTCTGGGTTTGTGTTCTTTCTGAATTGTCGCCGATTTCATTTTCGCATGTAAATTAGAACCAAATTAGGTCGTATGAGACGTAGGTTGAAAACCCTAGAGCCTTTTTCAGCGACTGAGGGGTTCGTCTATTGCGGGAGATGCCCTGATCGTACGGAGTTAGACATTTCTAGGGTTTTCTTTAGTTCTTTGACTATTTTCTGTTTTCGCTTGCTTCTGTATGGGTTTGTTCGTCTTTACATCGGGCAATGTCGCGTTTTTTTGTTCAATTCTGTCTATGATTTGGGCTTTGATTTCGGATGTGTTATACCTCTGTCGGTTAATTCGTCGCTCGACTGTTCATCATTGAGTCAAAAGTTTACTCCTTTGCTCGTTAATTTTCTCAGAGGGTAGTAGATTTACTACTTTCAAGTCACAGAAGTTTCGTGTTTTCCATTGAAACTGTGAACTATATAGTCTGGGTTGTTGTTATATTGAAGGGCTCTGCTCAAGATCTCATCTTGTTGATCATCCTGCACGAGCATTTTGTTCTTTTCCCCGTTCTGGGATGATTGAAATCCTCAAACTTGTATATGTATATATATATAATGTGTCTTATTTCTGGTTAGATCATATTTAGTTATTATGCTCAAATCTATTGCAGAAATGAAGGGTTCTGCCCAAGATCTTATCTTGTCGAAGCATTCTGTTCTTTTTTCCTTTTCTGGGATGAATTCCTTAAACTTGTACATATAATGTGTCTTATGTCTGGTTAGGCCATACTTATTATGTTCAAATCTATTGTGGAAATGACATATTGGATTTGTATTAGATTTTGTAGGCCTTTCTGGTTTTGCCACATTTGGAGTCCTGAAAAGTTGGATTCAACACATTCTTCATAGAGGTTCTGAGCAATCGTCCGCTTCTGATTGATAGAATTTCTTTTGAGAATCCTCTCTGCCCAGTCATGGTAATACTATCCTTCTGACGCGATTTACTTGCTCGGGTATGTTTTACTAGCTTCGGTTTCTTTGTTTGATGGCACTGCAATACCTCTTTTTTCTTTTTCCTTTTTCCTTCAGGCAAGTAACGAAAATCTCCCGCCTAATGTTATCAAGCAACTTGCCAAGGAACTGAAGAATCTTGATGAATCTCCTCCAGATGGCATTAAAGTTGTGGTAAATGATGAGGATTTCTCAACAATATATGCCGATATCGAAGGCCCGGGTGCGCATTTTATCTTCCTATCGATCAATCCTTTTGTCATGGCAGATTACAAAGATGAAATAAGATCTTCCTCTTTGATTACCTGCAGTTGGGACCCCGTATGAGAACGGTGTTTTCCGTATGAAGTTATCCTTATCACACGACTTTCCCCGTTCCCCGCCTAAAGGTCTGTATAATTATCTCATCCTTTGAGATGGTTATTTAATGCAGAGAAATATGTGATTCTGAATTTGTTGTTTTTAAACGTAGGCTACTTCCTAACGAAGCTTTTTCATCCTAACATTGCGAACAATGGAGAGATCTGTGTTAATACGCTGAAAAAGGATTGGAACCCAAGTCTCGGATTACGACATGTACTCACCGTAAGATCCATGACCGTTCTTTATATTTCGGTTTGATGGTGCCTCCCTCCTCTTCATTTCCAAATGCTTTATTAGCATCTGCTGCTGCTTTGCTTCTTCCTTAATACTTTTCGGGGAACAGGTAGTGAGATGCTTACTGATAGAACCATTTCCGGAATCTGCATTAAACGAACAGGCTGGGAAGATGCTACTTGAAAACTATGATGAATATTCACGACATGCTCGGTGAGCAATCTCGTCCATGGTGCTTAGCGAACTCTATTCCATTTATGCCAAGCAATGATGAAATACCGAATTCGTTTTTGATATATCCTTAACTATAACTTGCAGGCTTTACACCGGTATCCACGCCAAACCGAAACCTAAGTTCAAGACAGGGGCTATCTCCGAGTCTACGACAGCTCTAAACGTCGACCAGACCAAACCAGCAGTTGATCAGAACGACGAGATTCCGAATGCTGCAAACCTGATACAGTCTGCAACTTCAGACATCAAGAGAGTGATAACTAGCGGTCAGGACCGAGCGGTGGCTGATACTGTCTGGGAAGCCATGTCAGCACCCGCGAATGTAGCCGGGAAAACGGTCAGGACGCAGAACAAGGAAGAGGGTCTGGCCAAGAAGGTTGAGTTGGAGAAGAAGAAGAAGGTAGATGCTCGGAAGAGAAGCTTGAAGAGATTGTGAAGTTAGCTATGGCGGGCCAGTAAGTATAGGTTCAACTCCTGAACTGTTGTCCTGATTTCATAAGAGCTTTGTTTTTTTTTTCTTTTAATTCTCTTTAATTCAGGGGAATAAAGGTTTAATCTTTTTTTTTTGCGTTTGTAGAGTCTGCCATATATATATATATATATATATATATATGCGTGTGTGTGTGTGTATGGACAAAAAAAATCTAGAATTTACAAGTTAAGAAAATTAAAACCCAGTTAAAAACCATGTATTATGAAAATTAAAGCCAAATGTCGCCTTGTCTTTTATTTTGTTTTTCTTAATACATGGTTTTTACTAGAGTTTTAAATGTTGGATTTAATTTAGTAAATAATAAATTTTAAGGGGGG